CATCGTCAGTGGGGAAAGCAACTGACAGAGAGAAGTTGGAGCTATTGTGGAATTTCTACTCAGAAGCAAGGTTTTGCAGATTAACCAGAAAAAAAATAAGTCATGTTTTCTTGTCATGCATAATCAGGAAACAGTGATTTTAATGTAATTGTTTCCAAAATCTTATTGTTCTATACATTTAACACATATGCTACTTACACTATTATAAGTATCTAATTTTTAATTTATGCTTTAAATTTGATCAATAGACTGATTTTTTTACATGTCACACACACACACACACACACACACACACACACACACACACACACACAAATCAGAGACTCCTTATGTAATAAATGCCTTGAAGCCCACTACCTGAGAATATAAAGAATACTTTTTACACAAAAGCTTGCCAAGGAGACATTTAAGTATGTGTTCAATAAAGCTTTGCTGTCACCATGATTGTGTTTATTTGTAGAGTTCAGTATAGGATAAACACCACATGAGGTAACAGAAAGGAAGCTTTTAAATACCACCTGAGAATGTTCTGGCCTGGAAAAAATGGGGAGTTTTGTACTTTTGTTTCCAGAATCTCTTCTTGGTTCTCACCTAAAATGTTAACTAAATAATCTCATAGAACATTATAAGGTTTCTCTCTCTAATGTTTCTCCTCATCCCGATTATATTTCCAACATTTTAAATTTATTCAGCACTGTAAATTTTGGACCACTGATTTATTATTTCTAAGGACTCCAAATGTCTGGGATTATATGATATATGCCCTGTTGTTCATATATTTTAAAGTAATTTGAGATAGACTTTTTTGATATGTAAATATGTGTATTGAATTTATTTATAACAATGAAATTCGGGAAAATTCTGTAGTAAGTTTGAAGTGTACAATAGTATTGAATAGTATAAAAACAGAAATAGTCATTTCTCTATTTCTTTTCATGACTGCATGACATGTTGTTTTACATCAGAGAGATTTCATTAGTGAAGATGTGGTAAAACAAGCCCATAGCTTTTATTCACGAGAAATAGAGTGTCTTTTCCTGTTAAGATCTCTCTTAAGATGCCCTTTAGTACAGAGGAGACTCAGGCTGTGATACTCACAGCCTCTTCAAGGAGAACAAGATTAGTCATTAGTCCCAATTATTAACTCCAAGTTCTTATAAAGATCAAAACAACATTCCCTTAACATTGACTATCTTTTCTTTTTCTCTCTTACTTCATAGACTGTACCCGAAAGTCAGGGCAGATTCTTCCTCTTAATACTTTCTACACTGATCACCCCTGCCCCGCATCATCTTCTCCAGCAAATGAGATTTAGTTATCTACAGACATATGTACTGTACACTGTTGTTTCAACATCTTGAGCCTCTTGAGTACAGAGATTATATTCAACATTCATTGTTGTCTTCCAGAGTAGAAAGTGCATCCTTAAAAAAGTCATAGACACCTACTGATCACTTATTGATCAAGACTCACCAGCGACTCCCAGGAGAGCAAGAAAGATGAAGGTCATCATGGTTGCTTCCCAGATCTGGACTAGGGACTATGCTGAAGGGTTTCCATCCACAGCTATTTATACCACCCGGTTTGTCACTGACACCCATGGCCACAGGTGCTGGAAATGTGATTTCACTGGAAAGTCACAAATCCAAATTTAGAATTCAATTCCGTGCCACACTGAAGATGATTCAGTATCCAATTTAAACATCCACTTTTGTCCACTTTTCCAGAGGTTATGGGAATGGAAAAAATGAGCCCACCTGGTAGAAACTGTTCCCCATAATAGAAAAGTAAGTTGGAGTAAGGTCACAGATCAGGGCTGCAGGTGTCCTGATTCCCAGAGAAAAAATTTAGGTACTTGGTTGTCTCAAGCATGAACTTTTATGCCTGTTTCAGAATTGTATAATTTGTCTTGTAGTAGCTCTGGCCTTGTATACCCATGTTAATGTTTCATTATTGATAGGAACACTTGTTCTCCTGAAAAAAGAAAAATATTTCTGATTTGAAACCACAATAGTTCAAAATAGGAAAGGGAAAGAATGAGAATAATTTATCCTTATCTGAACTTAGTATTTAATAGGCATATGCTAAATACTTAGCCTATTTGTTAAACTAGTAATTCTCAAAACAAGCCTACGAGATCCCTATTATAATTCCCATTTAACAGTTGGGAAAACTGAGGCTCACAAAAGTATAAGGGACTTTACCAAAATCACAAGGCAAATCCATAGTAGGGTCAGGATTCCAGCCCCGGAAATCTGGCTTCACTGCCTGTGCTCTCAAGCACTACGTAACACTTCCCTAGTCAGTTCACCAAAGTCTGGACACCAAGATAATACAGAGTTCTTGGCCAGTGAAGAGACAATGGGAATTTATTGAGTGCTTACTATAATATGTATCAAACTCTGTGGGTGGGATTTTGATACATCTACTCATTCAGTCCTTACAAACAACTTTATAAGTGTTGTGCTCTAATTTTTGCCATTTTATAGATGGGGAGGTTGTGGCTTAGAGAAGGTAAGGTGTTTTTTTTTTTCCTCAAATTTTCAATACTATGAGGTGATCCATACAGAGGTCAAACACAAGCAGCCTCACTTCAGAGCCCACGCCCTCCGTTGTGATGCCGTACACATAATACAGGAATGATGAAATAACATTTATATTTTAAGGCAGGACAAGAAAAGTTCAACATTACATTCTCTCTGTGTCAGGTAATTTTATGCCCTTTCCTTCAATGAGTCTGTTTTTCCTTTTCTCTGTCTTCTCTAGTCACTTTCCTGGTTAATACCGCACCAGTCACTGAGGCTGTGCTGTGCTGGCTCTTTACCACTACAATGTGTAGCGAAATTTTAAATAAGAATTTCTCCCCTTGAAACATAATATACTAAGAAAGTTACTAAAAAACTGAAGTGAACAATCAGGGCAAATCGGTGTTAGTGAATAGAATGTTCTTCCCTGGCAAAGTGAATCCTGGAACCAGGCCGCGTTTTCCCTGAGAATCTGCTCAAGGGTGCCATTAGTCTGGGGGCATTTCTCTTCTAGCCACATGTGGTTCTCTCCACGTTTTATGTGCAGGGTCAGAAACCTTTTCTTTTTCCTGTAAAGGGCCAGATAGTAAACGTTTTAGGCTTGGCAGGCAATATATAAGGTCTCTTTCACTGCTACTCTGCTCTTGACCATTTGAGCAACTCTAAAGGGTACATGAATTCGTGAGTGCAGCCCTGTTGTTGTTGTTGTTGTTGTTGTTGTTTGTGGGGGGAGGGGTGTCTGGACTTTCATATCCTCATGGATAAAATGAATACTCAGAGAAAATAATGGGGAAATGGGAGAAGTTAATCTTTGATCCACATATCAGAGTTTTGTTAAAGTGCCGACTTAATTCAGTTGTGTCTCTGTCAGAATTCACTTCACATTTCTCTCTCTTCCCATTTGCAGCCATATCCTACCTCCATTCCTCAAGATTAGGCTGGTAAAGCAGGCTTAATAAAAGGACAATTAAGTTTTATCATAGAGGTTCTCAGGTATGTAACCTGAGACCCACAGCTGTCAGAACAGCATGCGCAAATGCCATCTTGAAATAATTTGGAAACTTGCCACTTCTGAATATGATGGGCTAGTGAGGCATTTATTAAGAGAAAACATTCTATTGGATTGGAAGGAAATGAGGTTAGGAAGAGAAACAGAGATGGATGAAGGTGAAAATGGTGCTGAAGGTCAAAATAGAGCATCATAAATGGAAAATGACAAGAAAGAGGGAAAAATTACAGTACACACCCCACATTAATTTTTTGAGAAAGACAGTTTTCTTTCAGATGTATTCATATCCCCACCAGGAAAACTTTTTGTGATTTGTCTCCAAGCTCCGTCATCCCAACCTTATTCAATATACCCACCTTGCTTTTATGGGATACATTTCCTAAATCAAAGTGCACAGATATCCAAAGAGTTCCATTACTAGACTCAGAAATATTTTTCTATTATAGTTTTGGAAATTCGGGGATTAGGAAGAACCCAGTAGGCACCTTGAATTCCACTCTAGGAAGAAGACATAGCTCCTGGGACATAGGCTAGTGAGCAACCATTCACAAGTGCTGTAACCCTCACAACTCTCAGTCATTGTCACTTTCCTACTTCATCCTTGTGAGTGACAGTCATCAAAGTGTTTAGCAATCTTAGTAGGGAAGACGGGTTCACATAGGATAAGTCATGTCAAGCTGACCCCATTTCCTTTTGGGCGAGCTCACTAGATTGAGGAATTTGGAAGAAATTGGGACTAGCATGGCTTGTTTTCAGCAAAGCACTTGACAACGTTTCCATGGTATTTTTGCAGCTTCCATGGCATTTTTGCAGGTAAGGAGTTGATACATGCTCTTTTTGCTGTACTCCAAGGTAGGTTCCCAGCTGATTAACAACTTTTCTCCAAAGTGCTGTCTCAGAGCCCATGGGAAATGTAGCAAGAAGTCCCTGAGGTCTCTGATTTGAGATCACAGAAAGCCATGAAGCTGGTTTGCTAGTGACCCAGAGCTGAGAAGAATCAACACCACAGGTGACTGAATCAAGGCACCAAAGATGTAACATCCAATGTAAAAATCTCCCTGATTTGTCCAAGTAGTTCTCCAATCATTTTACTCTCTTAAGTGCTACTACCAGACTCAGCTTTGACCCACGATTTGATATAATGCCATTCCTAGACAAATGGAATTCAAGGAGATCAAGGCTAATGACAGAGCATCAAGTAACATTGGCCAATCATCCCCCTGGGCTCTTGTCTCCTCTCTGCTCAAGCATCTTAGCTGTCACCGTTTTCCTTGTGACCAAGTCCTCATTTGATCACCATCTCCAATTAATGGGTTTCTTTTGTTCTCAGGTTTTTGTGTCAATACCCACTTAGTATCCTAACTCCTTAGAAAAGTGTTCAGCTTTACCAGTCTGAAGCCAAACTGTCACCCCCAAGCCCAACCTACTGCCTTCTTCCCATCCCTCTGAGGCTCACAGCCATCTTCATGGGCGGTAGGGGATGGGTCTATTCCTCTCAGTCCTGCCACAGTAGCCCCAACCCACCTTTTGAGGTGCTGGCATAGGTCATAAAAGGGAAAGAGGGAATGCGAGCTCAGTCCTGCCACAGTAGCCCCAACCCACCTTTTGAGGTGCTGGCATAGGTCATAAAAGGGAAAGAGGGAATGTGAGCTGCAGAAACTAACAAGGGCAGTGATTCCCCAAGCACATCCCCCTCAGGACCAGGGAAGTGCACTCAGAAGACAGGAACCTGGGCAGGGAGACACCGGGTCCCATCCTGTCTGAGCTGAGGAGGGCTCCAGGCTCCTCTGCTGTGTGGTCCTTTGTCTCCTGGGAGCAGGTGAGTCCCGGGAACAGGTGGGACAGCTTTGTCTTTGAACTTCTAGCTTTTTTCATGGAGCTGCCTCAGGAGACTCTCTGAATGTGGTTTCTTAATTGTTCAGGCCCTATGGACACTGGAATTATGTTGTTATTATAACTTTTGAATTTTGTTGCAAGATTTGATTTCCTTGTCGTGAAGACAACTAGATTTTGAGCTCCTGAAGCAAACATTTTGTGTTTACATCCCCAGTTTGTAACTCTGTCTCTGGAACGGAGTAGATGCTTAAGCTCCTCTTTGCCCCTCAGGCACTTGAGCCCCATCTACAATATCCCCACCAAAGGTCATCCAGCCTCTGTTGCAGAGAGGAGATCATGGTACCTCCTCAACCATCCAGTTAGAAAATTCTTCCTTGTGTTGAACCAGGAAACGGTCTATTTAAAGCTCTGACCATTTTTTCTTAGTCTTGTCCCTTGGGAAGATGGAACCAGGAGAGTCATAGTAAAATAAGCGGTCACTAGAGGCCAAAACCAGCAGAAGATTGTGGGTTCTAGAAAAGTACAAGGAGAGTCAAGATAAGCCAGGGTTCCAGTCCGTTAGAGACTCCTTTACCTCTGTATATAGCAGGGACACATCTCAAAAGGCAGTCTCAAAAGTTGTTTCACGTTACTGGAGAAAGGCATGCCAGATAGTACTAGCTGAAGCCAGAGGCTAGCTTCATTTTAGACAACCTAGCAGAGCTATTTCTTAGAAAAAATAAATTGGTATAGGACTAGTTAGAGAGCTTAAAGATCTGGTTAAACTCCTCTCCTTCAAAAACCCTTTTCCAACTCTGGCAGACCCCAAACGATAACTGTTTTTTCTATATATTCTTTCAGTGCTGGTAAATACAGTTTATACCCCGTTATTTTATTTTATTTATTTATTTATATTGAAATATAGTTGATTTACAACATTATATTATTTTCAGGTGTACAGAATAATGCTTCAATATTTTATAGATTATACTCCATTTCAAGTTATTACAAAATAATGACTATAGTTAGATAAGCAACAAGGATACATGGTGTATACCCATTATTTTACGATCGGTGAAATATATAGTTATTTCTTTCTTCAGGTGCTTCATCTTGATATTGGCTCTGCTTTACTGTCTAGAATATTCACGTACACCAAAAACAAATCTGTATATTCTATGGTTTTTGTTTCTTATTGTTTTATTTCTCCTTTCCACACAGAACCCATTGCTGTCAGGGCGCTTCTATTGATTTGCATAGATTCAATATGGCTGTTTGGTGACCAGAACGTAGCGTGGGACCAGTCCTTGAAGAAGCTCAGACTTCAGTCAGGCTCTCAGATGATGAGAAGAAAGCATCTGGTTGTGGTTCTAAAGCCTGGGATCCTAGCAGGATGGACAGGTGGTGATTAGACTGTTTGCTCATCTGGGAGTGTTGGAAGGTAACCCTTAGGGAGGAAATAGTGAAAAGCATGTAGTGGGTTCTCAGGAATAGCTCTTGTTTCAGGCAAAAGGAGTATATACCTTAATATGTCATGCAAGACTGACAGGTAAGAAGGGGGCTTTTGATAGGAAGGAGAAAAAAGAAAATAATTAAGATATGTATATTATCTTGATTGTGGGGATGGTATAGGTGTTTTCATATGTCCACACTCCTCAAATGGTACACATTAGATGTGTGCAGTTCTTTTCATATCAATTGTACCTCAATAAAGCTGTTAAAAATAAATAAAATAGGGATTTCCCTGGCGGTCCAGCGGTTAAGACTCTGCGCTTCCAATGCAGGGGACGTGGGTTCGATCTTTGGTCGGGGAACTAAGGTCCCACATGCCGCTCGGTGCGGCCAAATAAATAAATAAAATAAAATTATGGAGGCCAACATGCAGGAAATTTAAAAAAGGAATTGGAAAAAAAGAAAGATTAGCCTATGACCTTAAAAAGAGAAAATTCAGTAGGGAAGACAAGTACGCACACGACAAAAATGTGTTATAATAGGAGGGGGGAAAAAAAAAGGGAAAATCTAGGACTTTTGGAACCAAGAAACTGGCATTGCTTCCTGGAGGACAGGGTGAAAAAAATGAGAAATGCAAGTTGTTCAAAGAAGTCCAGGTAAATTAAGTACACGTTCATTAGCTATAATCATCACCCTGTCTGGATCTGTCTAGAGTGTATGGGAAACAGACAGGGTCTGTGTGAGGTTCTGCAAATTATGCAATAAGCATCCTGTGAAGTGAAAAATCTCTGTTGTCAGAGGATTGAACTGGTGCATTTCTTTGTATCTGTGCAGGAAGGAGCCCAGTGCAAGACGACAGAGACCACGCCAAGCGAGGAGGGCATTCCT